TGGAAATGACACTGGTGAGATGATGATGAATCCCACAGCTGTGCCTCGCCACTATTTATAGGAGATGGGCGCAGCGAGCTAGCCGTGCATGTCAACGCTCGCCGATCCACGACGGATCATGGTTGATAGCGGTGCTAGAGGATTACATAAGATATGCATTCAATTGCGTATGTTAACCGAGCGAGTGATGCCTTGGTTGTTGAACAGAGCCAGTGATGCCTTGGTTGTTGAACCGAGCCAGTGATCCCCGCGGTGTTGAGATCGGCCACATGCTTTGAGATCTCGACTTCACTGATAAGATCATAGATTTGGCGTGAGTCCGGCCGCATAATCCCTCTTCTACTGTAAGTTGAGACATAGTAGGGGGATGTAGATGCTCCTGCTTATGAGCTCCATCCAAGGTTTTCTTTCTCGGTTGGCCGTATTTGCTGTTTCTTTTGTGTGCGAGCTTGAGTGCTCCTATTCAGCGCTTAGTGCGCTCAATAGCAAGCCAATCGCCCAGGCTTGTGTGGGCCCGTATCAGTTATTGAAACTTCTTTTAATTCTAAAAAAATGTTATTTCAAATATTTATATGAAAGAATAAAAAATGTTACTAACAATTTTCAAAAAGTGGAAAGTATATTCTGGGAAATAAAAGAACCACATTCGTACATACGTACCATGATCTCATATATTTGGAAACAAATCATCGGAATTTTTCGTACATCACGTCACCTATATTTTAAGGTAGGTACAACTAGCATTTTTTTAAATCATTACTTATTTGAGAAAATACGTTCATCATGTGTTTTTAAAATATTCATCGAATACTTAAAAGATGGCCATCCCTTATTTGAACAAAGTTCACCACACATTTAAAACAAAATGAATGCTTATTTCTGCATACAAATCTAATATTCAAGTATTCAATTTTTTAATGTATTATCACAACAATTTTAAAAAAATTCATCACACAGGTATTTCATACAAATATATTATTCACATAGAAAAAATGCTGAGCAGTTTATTTACACATGATAAACATTTTTAATACATGATGGGTGTTTTGTTAAATACATGATAATTATTTAATACAGAATAAGCATTTTGAAAACACTTTTTTTAAATAGGTCTCACATGTTTTTATATTTGTTTCATAAAAGATGTGCTTATATTTGTTTCATCAGGAAATGTGTTGATATTTTAGGTGATAAATACATCATTTACAATTCTACAATCGAAATTTGGTTTTCAACACTTCAAAAGTTTGGTAGTATCAGTATGGCTAGTATTTTTCGCAGTTGTTAGTCTCCAAAGACGAGATTTTCAGAATTTCACATAGTTTAGTGACTTATTTGTTGTCATATCTCGTGTTATGTAGATGTAGGATCTATGAAAACATTACTGCTTTTGTTTACACGTTCTCGGTAGACAAGTGAGATAATGAAGCATGTGACGTGCCCAAGCTTCGGTAAAGTGCCAGCTCCGCCACTGTTAGAGTGGACGAGAGTTCACAAAGTTTACTGTGAAGTTGAGCCAAAAGCTTCGTACGTATCAAGTTTATGGACACATTCACGATGGCTGAAACACTAATTGACCGTCCATGCTTTGATTAACCTCAAAAGACACCTTGCCAACAACGACATTGCTTACCCCTATCAAAAGCAAGAAGAAAACAAGATGCCTCGCGAGAACGAAACACCATAATAATTTGCAAACTAAACAAGGTTCACTAAAAGCGTGGCGTCATCATGCCATATGCCAATGATACAACATAATTTTTTTAACAAGAAACGATGATCGAACACTATACATCCTCGCAGGAAGATGCATCATACAGCTCATGATCCTTATTGGACTTGGCACAAATTATTGAAGGCAACATAAACACTCCTTGGCGGGCTTGTCAGATGCAGCTCCTTGGCATAACTAGTTAAGCCGTGATGACTTGTGCTATTTCCGCGTTGTTCTTGGTGCACAGATCGTGGCATCCACTGGTGCAGTGTTCCATGGCGCCTTTCCCTTCATTGGTATGAAAAAAAATTAATTAGGTGATACATGCAAGCAAGGAGTTATTTAGGTGAGACTTTTACTACTACGAGACTTCTGGGGAACTGATGCATGCATTTTGTTTGTATATTGCAAGGTGTATTGCCTAAGGAAATTTGTAGCAGGATGCGCATGTGATGCATGGGGTTGGTGTTAGTGATAGAGAGAATCTTACCAGAAGGAGTTAATTTGTTGCACAAGGAAGCCGTGCACCCAATCTTGCAGTAGTTGGTGGCTGTTTCACGGCAGGCAGTTCCGCAGCGTATATGCATGCAAATGTAAGCAAGCAAAAATTAAACATATATCGGTCCATCTCTTGCACTACATATATTCAAATGGAGCTCACAAGCTAGTAACCAAAAAACAAGTTCAACACGGAGTTGCAAGCAATAAACGTAGGACGAAAAGAAAGGGTCGGTTATTTGACATACCTTGCAGTGCAGTCTCTATATCTATATAACCGGGCTTGCATTCAAATCCAGCGGCGTCTGATATATAGCCAGCGGAAACACCGCAGCACTCTGAGACAGTGCTATCAGATTTTGCGCGGCACTTAAAATAGGTATCGACCAAGTTGAGATCATAACAACAGTGGGATGCTTGTACTTGCTGGGTTTGCTCCATGGCCACAACACCCACAACTACGAGCATCATCACAATGGTCTTGACATTGTTGCCTCTCATAGCCATGTTCAATTCTTTCACACACGGTGATTGAAATGAATGACGCTGAGATGAGATGGGATGAAGCAACACCTGGGCATCGCCCACTATTTATTGGAGATCTGGCTGGAGCGAGCTAGCCACGCATCTCAACTTGTGAACTAGCCGCGTGGTGTGCATGTGCTAGCTGCTCGATTACTCTGTTCCTTTGATCATTCTTTAATTTTTGTGCTGCGTGGTGTCATCAGTCATGTCGGTGGTTCGGCTGGCCAGCAGTCACGGGGGATCACATAAGATATAGTACATAGATATGTTCGTCGATCGAGCTGGATACAATATATACGCATGGTACACGCACGCTGATCAACGACGGATCGTGATCGACCGCGGTGCTAGAGGATAGTATTATATCAGATGCATATTCAATTGGGCATGTACAACTTCATTTGTGTTTGAGATCTCGACTTCACGGATAAGATCGTGGATTTGGCTCACTACTGGAATCCACTCGCCGAGTGCTAGGTATACCCGGCGAAGGCCTGCAAATACTCGGTAAATGGTTTTCTGAGTGTTGCATTCGGCAAAATGCACTTGGATTGCCCCCTTTTGCCAAGTGTTTATTTGGGGCGCTCGGCAAAGATTTGTGCTTGATAACAATGAGCTAAAGGAGGATGGAAACAACGGCAGAAGGTTGATGTACTGAGTGTAAACACTTGACAAAGACGTGACTTTGGCAGATCATATATACATGAAAGAAAAAAAACAGCGAGCTGCGCCATGGTGATGAGCTCATCATGAGGACACACGAGCTTAATAACATGTATGTGGAGGAAGAACTTTATTGGCATCAATTCTCTAATGAGAGATGGCTCTTGAAAGGAGACAACAATACAGGCTTTTTTCACAAAGTAGCTAATGGGCGCCCTAGTAAACATTCCATGATTTCTTTTTTTTCGAAACGGAGGCAAAAGAATTGCCTCATCGATTAATTAAGAAGAAGAGAATTGCCCAATTAATTTACGAAAAACAGGGCGAAAACCGATACAAACAAACTCACTCAACACGAAGCACCACGGCCACATAGATGGCCCGCCAAGTGCTCCCAACACCCAACAAGCACAACCCTCGACACTTCTACAATGCAACGGAACCCGGGGTGAGAAAACGGCAATGATGACTCAAAATACCAAGGACACGTCGACAACACGAGAAACCGAGCACAATCCATCATGACATCGCAGACGCCTTCCCTCTCGCATCATCAACCATAGGAACCTCCAGCTGCTCACTTGACAAAGGTGAATCTTGTACATCGCTCGAGGTCGTCGATGTGTCCACCTTCATATGATCTACTGACAAACTCAGACATAGCTCCCTAAGCTCGGGCATGACCTGCAGTACCGGAGCCACAAGCACGGCAATGGACTCCCCCTCAGTGGAAGACAACATAGGATGGGAGGTAGGCACTGAGGATGAATTGTCTCCAACACGAGGGGAGAAGGAGCCATATAACTCCACCCCGCTATCCTGCATGGAGCAAACACCGGCCGCACAAGGAGAGTGCGGTGTCAGAGAGGTCTGCAACATAGCCGGCGCAAGGGAGAGTCGACTCAGAGCAGCCTCCGCTCGCTCTAAAAAGCTCCCAACATGCGCCAGACAACCTTGCATCAACGCTGTCTGATCAGCCAAAACGGACTGCAACATCAGCTCCGACGAGGTTGGAGAGCCAAAGGTAGCAGAGATGACAGACGCCCAAGACCCACGATGAAGCGCCTTGGATAGGAGTGTGGATCTCATCGGACCCTCACATGAAGCAAGAGAAGGACGATGCACGACGTCGAGCTGCGACACGAGCGACACATCAATGCATGGTAGTGAGCTTAGAGGATGCCATGGGTTGCAACATCCACGCGCACGATGACCGTTCTCAAAACAACGGGACCACCGCAATGACTCTTTGCAAACAGCCGCGCAATGACCATGAGCGAAGCATCTGTAACATCTAGCGCGAAACCAAGTGGGGATGGGACGAGGAGCCATTGTAGAGGAAGGCGACGAAGTCGGACGACGCGGGCCGCGCCGCGGTAGCACCTCCTGCCAACCCTCATTTGTGTCTGCGTCATGCCCCACGCACATCCCTCCAGAGTCGAGGGCCTTGGTGGCAGCCGTCGGTGTCTGGGGAGCCAACTCCTCTTCGTCATCTTCATCGTCATCATCGTCATCATCGTCAGCAGAGGAGGCCCACAACACCGCCCGTGGTGGCAGCGTCATGCCCATTTCCTCTTCACAGCCTACGTTGTCCCCATTGACAGAGGCAACAGGGGCCGACAACAACACATCCGAGGTGGCACCGGCAAGGACAGGGGAGCCAGGCGCCGGGGCCGAAGCACTTGCCGACACAGGATCCGAACAGGGCGTGCACGCAGCCTTAAGACCCCTATTCTCCCTCCTGAACCTGGAAGCTGGGGGCAGCTGCCGCGGTCGAGGGAGAACACCGGCGACTGGGGTAGTGCCTGCAGCCTGAGCGCACGGCCCAGACGGCGGAAGGACGATGGGTGCAGCAGCCGGAGACGCGATTGAGTGGTGGCCGTCGCGGAGGCTCGGACGAGCAGCATTGCCGGGCGAACCGAGAGATGGGGCGCCACCGAGACTGGTGTGGGATAGGTCTTCGTGGGGTACCCGGATCCGGTCACGGCGGCCGCAAAGGAGGACGGAAGCCGGAGATCCGGGCGATGGCGGCGCCCAGCCACAACTTGCACGGACGCAAGAGCGCCATCCCTTCCCAACGCATGATGCCGAGCCGAGCTGAGCCTAGCAGAAGAGAGAGGACGAGCAGGGGACTCCGGATCTGGCATGGGTAGCTGCGCAGCTAGCCAGAGGTGGGAGATCGAGGCGCCGCTGCCAGGGGCGCTCTCCCGACGCGGGTGCTGTCGCTGGAGCTTGTCCCTTGGTTGGATTACATTCCATGATTTCACTTGAATGTGGATTGATAGAAGGGACTAAAAATCTCTTAGCTCATGCTACTGATTACTATAAGACCCTCTTCGGACCAGCCCCTGGTAATCTATGCCATATAGAGGGAAACTTTTGGTTTCAAGAGGAGAAAATCTCTCCTGAGGATAATGATGACTTGACCCAGCCTTTTTCTATTGATGAAATTAAAAAGGCTCTGTTTGATATGAAATCTAACTGTGCCCCTGGACCGGATAATATCCCTGTCAAATTCTATCAACATTGTTGGGAAGTTGTAGCCCCAGACTTATTTGCCTGGTTTGAATGGTTTTATGAGGGGAGACTGGATGTGCAAAGACTGAATTATGGCATTATTACTCTATTGCCCAAGTCAATTGATGCTAGTAAAATCCAGCAATATAGACCGATTTGCTTATTACATTGCCCATACAAGCTTATTGCCAAGTTATGGACATTAGGGCTAGTAAATGTGCTCATAAGCTGTTTAGCATACAACAAAATGCTTTCATCAAGGGGAGACATATAGTGGACAGCATATTATCCTTACATGAGGTTTTACATTATACTCATGTTAAAAAGCAAGTGGGGGTTGTTCTTAAGCTTGACTTCGAGAATGCTTATGACAAAGTCAACTGTGACTTTTTGCTTGAATGCCATGTAAAACATGGGTTTAATCAAAAATGGTGTGGGTGGGTGTCTCAAATCCTTAAGAATGGGACGTTTAGTGTTAAAATATCAATGATGAGCTGGGTCCCTATATACACAGTGCAAAAGGGGTTAGGCAGGGTGATCCACATTCTCCTTTCCTTTTTTAATCTTGCGGCAGAATGCCTAACTAAGATGATGATTTTGGCCCCAAAAAACGGTCTCATTAAAGGGTTGGCCTCTGATCTTATTGAGGATGGAGTGGGTATCCTGCAATATGCAGATGATATAGTCATTTGCTTTGAAGATGACATTGACAAGGTTGTCAATGTCAAACTCTTGCTGTATTTGTTTGAACCCATGTCTGGGCTGAAAATTAACTTTGATAAGAGTGAAGTAATTATTATAGGTGGGGATAGCGAGACTGATGCGATTTATGCTGAGATGTTTGGATGTCAGGTGGGCACTTTGCCTATGAGATACCTGGGTGCTACGATCACATACTCTACTTTAAAAAATATAGAGTTGGATTTCTTGGATGTGAAGATGATAAAAAAACTTGATGCCCGGATTGCATATTCAGAATCATCTGGTGCTAGACTCACCCTCTTAGACTCTAGCCTGGATGGGATTCCATCATACCTTATGTCTATGTTTCCGTTCAACAAAACCTTTATTGAAAAAATGGATAAGAACTGTTGCGGATATAACTACTGAGTATAAACCGCCCAGGAGGGGCCGGTTCACACTCAACTATATTGAAGCCCATGAACACCCAGAAATGGCACTTTACTAATGAAGCTTAGAGGCCCGGAGCCCAAAGGCGAATTAGGGCCCATAGTGGTAAACTGCCATAGTCACGTAACTTGTATTGTAAGTTAGGAAAGGAGAGACCGAGCCGGACACTTGTATGAGCCGGCCTCGGGACTCTGTAAACCAACCGGGCGTCAACCCGTGTATATAAGGGGACGACCCGGCGGCGGTTCAGGGACAAGAAACAACAACTCGAGAGCCAGGCAGAACGTGTTTAGCTCCCTGGTTATCGAGACCCCAATAATCCCATCACAACTAGATGTAGGCCTTTACCTTCATCGAAGGGGCCGAACTAGTATAAAAACCCTCGTGTCCTTTGTCCGGTTTAACCCCTTTAAGCAAACCCGTTGTGATGGCTCCATGACTAAGTCCTTTCACGAGGACATCTAACGTGATATTTCCACGACAGTTGGCGCCCACCGTGGGGCTATCGCACGATGGTTTCGAGTTCTTGAAGGGCAGCTTTGAAGGACTCAAAGTATACGCAGTGGGCCGGATGACCAAGAGTCGTCGCGGCAAGCTCTACATCGACGATGCAGGGTGGGGCCCTGAGGCCGGCTCAATTGAGTATGGATACCGGGCCCCCTTTGGCGGAA